GGAACAAAATTCTTATATCCTATTTCTCCACATATTCTCCGTGCCTCGCAACAATATGTACTTCACCGATTCACAAGACTGTGAATTCCTATGAGGTAGAAGCTTCTGAGTATGGCAAGTAACCAAGCGTACACCATCGACATCACCTCACTGTCATCTGCAAATCTCGGACCCTGCTGTCGCTTACTCTCTGGTTCATAATGGTGCACCCAGGACTCATCAGCAGCCCCAGTTCAATGGAGAAAAGCATCTCCTTCACGAGCATGAGTCCAAATGCCTAGTCCTAGTGTGCTTCTGTTCATCGGACAGCTGGCTTGGAACCCGTCTGCTACACACTTTCCTTTACCCACAGTTGTCATGGACAATTCTGTATGCAGCAACATGACTCGGGTGGAATTCTACAGCAATTTCATCAATAGTGACTTGTCTGTTGACGCGGATTAACTGCTCTATCTTATGTTTAACTGTTGGCACGCACAGGTCTCCCACTCCGCACATCATCACTGACATTATCCCTTCTGGTTTTAAATCTTTTCACCCATTCATACACTTTCCTCTAACACAAACAATTGTCTCAGTACTGAATCTTAATTCTTTGATAGATTGATGATGCTTTAACTCCCTCTACCTACACAAAACACAATCCCCCCCCCTCCCCCCCCCCCCCCCAAAAAAAAAACACTACCAAAAACACCTTGTTGCTAGTCCAGAATGCATACTTACACTGCTACGGCCATCTTATATGAGTTGTGAATGCACATACTGCTAAATCGTCACGACACACACTTTGGGTATTGCAAAATGGGCCATTCAGTGTCGCGAAATACTTTTTCTTCTATAAACTGTTCCTTGCACTCCAGGCTACAATTGCCTTTACTTAATGACCTCCCCTTGTAACTGTTTGCTAATTTTATCCAAATGTTCCTGTAGTATGCACTTGATGACATTCGGTGAAAGATGCCAGGCAATAAACTGTGCAATCTGTTGTTTGTCTTTTTTGTTTAAACAATGGTTTATGATCTACTGGGTGCACCCCTGGCGGTGAGCAAGGAAGTTTCCAGGGAAACTGAGTGCATGTGTAAGAATAAACTGTTACACTAACATTTTTTTAGTTCAATTTAATTATAAATAAAATAATGTTTAAAGACTGTTTACAAAGCAGAAAGCCAAGGATGCTTTTGTTTTCATGAGCAGTTTGTATACCTATCAATTTAAAAAAGCAAATTAATACCATAACACATGCATTTAATTATAGATTTCTTTTATGCTGACATATTTATCCGGATGTTTTCCCCCCAAGTTTTTGTTAATATTGCTTTGGATTTTCTTAATGTCCTCTTTTTTAATCACAATTTCCATTTTCTGAGGTCTGGGGGGGGGGGGGGGGGGGGGGGGGGGGGGGGGGGGGGGGGGGGGGGGTGCTTGCTATATATTCAAAAAAGGTTTGAAAACCACTGGTTGAAACTTACAACGGGGAAGCATTGCTTTGAAAGCTAAAAGTGCCAACACTGAGTGTACTTGACCACTTTTTAGGACGGTGTAGGGTGAGGAGGGAAAGGCAAGATAGTTTGGGGTCTTGGTCTTGAGGATTTAGGACCGCAGTGATAGTGCACTCTTTCACAAACGGTGCAAGCAAGGATTCTGTGTGTATGTGTCTCCCCCCCTCCCCCCCACTTAAAAAATGTCCACCAACACAGCAAGATCTTGTTTCCTGCATCTCCTAAGGAAGAGCTTGGCATTCTAGCCTCTCAACAACTGCTGAAAACATACTGAAAATAGTGTACAAATCTGACAATCTTTGACGTCACCAAAAATGCAGGAAGTCTTGAGGCATTCAATGCTAAAAATACACAAAAACAACAAATATACAATTTTGACAGGAATTGACTTGAAACAGAGTTGAGTTGATAATGTCCAACTTCATGGTGCTGACAAACGAACAGACATTCCCAACTTCTTACACAATGTCCTCAATGCATTCATTAGGTTTCCCTTACAACATTAAATGTCAGATGCAACAGAATTTATACTGCACAATACTGAAATCAGCTGCTCAAAATAATCTTTCTTGCCGTGCCCTGCAAGTTAAGCAAAACACCCTTTTCACACCAGTGACTAAACAGTTCTCTCCCCCCCCCCCCCCCCCTCCTCCCTCTCTCTCTCTCTAAGCCTTTGGAGTTTCAACAAACACATGTTCACATTATTGTTTAAAATTATTTTTTTAAACCCCACAAACACTTGCAATTGATGCGCTGCATGTAGTACAAACATAAAGTCCTCTCATATTCTAGATCATGATCACTGAACCCCTGAACAGTTTCACACAGTCTGAAACAGGCAATGTCCCCATTAGATGACTTTATTTACTTAGCACAAGTAAAAATTATTGGACCAGTTTCCTACCTTAAGAACACTGGATATATACTGCTACACCGATATAGTTGAATAGGCCTATCAACCCTCAACAGGTGATGGGGTCAACATCAAGCCAGCCACCTTTACTGCCCTGCACAATACCTGGTAGCCCTTCCAGGCTTTGAAGGTGCTTTGCTAGCCACACACACAAAACAAACATCGCCATGTTCAACCAGCATCCCTGAAGGAGAAGCTTCAAGTTATAATTGTGACTAGGTTGTGTGCACCATACAAAATGGCTTAGTAATGAACGCCACCAAGAGCCCTGAAAAAGGACTCTTGCAGTGTTCATGCGATCAAATAGGACTGCCAAATACTGACCCGAATGGTGATGAAGTGGCCTATCAGACGGCAACCCGGTCGCCGATGTGCCCTTTTAAGCTAGGTAAACAAGGGAGTCAAGGTCAGAATTGGAAAAAAAAAAGTTTGATTCAATGTGGATTTGAACTCTAGACCCCTGACGAGCAAGCGAGCAATTAGCCCCTATGCTACACAACAACAGCTAGCTGCCTTTCTTAGAAAAGGCTATAAGGTGATTTTCCTGGATGTGGGAACACCACCTCAGCTCAAGGGAGAAATCAGCTGACAGTTTGAGAAGATCTAGGGGAAAAAACATAACCTGATTGCTGAGTGCTATTACTGACCTGTCAGACCTTCACCAGGACCGCACAACGAGCGATAAACACCCAGTGACACAAAGTGCCACCATTCAAATAAGAATCGCCCGAGCACAAGTCCCAGAAACCCTGTTCAACCGATAGGTTATATTTAGGGCCCCTGATGACAGCCAGGTTGGGGTTTTGAAGTAACAAAAACATTGCATCCAATATTGAGATGGGGATTGCTTTTAGTACTGACCTATGCAGTTGGCCCAATAAATGTGACTTCACCCCCATGTTAGGATGATATATTGTGTGTCAAGTAAAGTATCTGTAGCCCATATACTGTAATGATAATCAGAGAATCACTAAACAGGCAGTGAAATGAAATATAAATGGACTGAGGAAACGTGGATGTCCACGTGAGACCCTAAGATGAACATTACTGAAAGTGGTCAATGTCAGCTGGAATGGCTTCCAAAAATCGAATAATGAAATGATAGCTTCTTCTTCCCATCAACCGGTTGTAAACAATAGAAATGTCTGTTCATCCACTTCTTTTCCCAGAATTTGAGTTTTATGTGCACATCTGTTTTACATATCTGGCTTATTTGTATGCAGATAGTTGGTTCCTGATCTATTAGGCAGTTGCACTCTGAAGGAAATACTTCTAATTAAATCTGCTTGTATGACATGCCTGTTAGGGAATCAGTGGGTCTTTTCTCCCTCTCCTCACAATGAGGCCTTATAAACCACAAGGTGTATATATGTAGATATCACAGCCTAGCTGTAAACCACAACAAAATGTGCCAACTGCCATTTTAAGGGGCAAACCAAGAAAGAGTGCAAATCTGTGTGAAACTGCAGAAATGTGGCTTGATATAGAAGAATACTAAGAACACTCTAGACAGATAAGAAATGCAATGAATTGGCCTTGAAAGAAATCAACCCAGGAACAGATTTAGTCATCTGCACTCAAATAAGGTTCACATTCTTTGGGAATATCATGAGAAGGGGAAACCTGGAGTATGCGGCAAGCAACAGCTGGAAGGTGAACGAGATGAGAGGCAGTGGAGACCAAGAGAGATGATGTTATGTTATTACAATCAATGTCACTGTACACTCCCATGTGTGTTCAGCTCTGCGATGAGGCAACTACTCTTAAGTACCTCTACTGATTGTGTTCTATGAGAAGCTGGTTACAGTATCTCCTGTTATGGCCCCGAAAATGACACTGGCGTGATGCACCAAGCTCTACTTACAGATCAGGTGATTGTGTCACTAGTAGAGATTCATCATTACACTCAAGCCTATTCTGTACAGCACTGTTATCAGCTCTGTTTATGCTTCCTCCTGTATACATTGGTTGCATTACTTGCCAGCTGACTGGCTCATTCATTACCTTTTTAATCTTGCATACCCAGGTATGCAGATCCAGGTGATGGAGGTTAACTGTGACATCTGAATGCTTTCTACAAATTCCAAGTGTGAGCTGGTTGTAGCAATTTTCTGAAGCATGTTCACGCTGTCATAAAACAATGACTACACATGTGGATGCTTGTTCTGCTACCCATGTGAGTGTTCTGGAGATCATCTTGAACAGTTTGGTGCCATGGTATAGAGGGATGTTTGCATTATAAAATTATTGCAAATACAAGGACCAGAAGGCTTTCCACACAGCAATGACATACAATCCACTGTCTCAATTTCTTCAGTGCTTCAAATTTACTTGCCTCGTTATAAACCTCATTAATTATTTTATAAGTAGCACAAAGTCACACCACGACGTCCTCCATGAATTATCTCCACCTGACAGAACAACACAATCCTACAAAAAAAAATCTATGCTGAATAATTACATTCACGTTACATGATAACATAACAAACAGTAACGCTGCATAATCAAAAGTTTTGATTGTAAAGAAAAAAAAAAACCAGTATAACACCTCTTTTTTTTCATTCCAAGGAAGGGCTGTTGTTTTAGCATCAAGTGTCCTGCGATGACGGGCAAACAAAAGGCTTAACTAAAAACAGTTTCTCTGAGTCCTGCTTGAAGATAGGGTGTTTCTTATAGTGCTCTATCAAATCCTCTAGGTCCGTGAACTTCTGCTGACCTATTTCGAGGACGCCTGAGGTGTTTTTAACCCGGAAGTGCTTATTGCGACCTGGCGCTTTCAAGGAAACTGTGTAGTGACCAGCCTGGAGTGAAGAGAAAGAAAAAAAAACCCAGATGATTACATCTGACAAAATGTACATACCAAAACATTCACCACCAATTTCAAATATAGAGAAAGACAGTGGCTGCATGGGTTCATTTTCAAAATAATACCTAGTCAAATGTGCTTTCACATCACTGATCTCATAATTTTTGTTTACATTTGCCCTCCAGGATTGCATTCTGGACAGATTAACACACAGCGGCTCAAAAAAGCCACTGTCCTGATGAAAATCCTATGGTAGCCAATCAACCGTATAATAGTACTATCAGGGGCACCCTATCAAGTCGTAACCTACAGTCCAATATGGGTGGGTTTGATGATTAATTGATCTGATATGTAACCAGATATTCATATGGTATAAAGAAAAAACAAACATGTGTGCATGGATAATTATAAACATAAAGTAACTAAATATACATAAACATACGCAAACATCTGGAAAGAGTAATCATGGAGGACCTTCCAGGGAAGTGCAGAGGAGGAATCAAGATGTGATCAGTAACATGTACATGGCAGAGGCAGGATGTGCTTATCATGGTAAGATATTTCAAGACCTATTTATGGGGAGTAAATTTCTGTACAGGACAAGCCACTGGCTGATTTATCCAACCTTATTCAAGGTGGTCTATTCTCCTACAGTACAGTTCTACCAACCAGCCACACCTACAGATGCTCCTTCTTTTTTTTTAAATGTCTTCATGGGGATGCATACTGGCTGTCTCTGCATCTCTGAACTTGTCCCACAACTCAGACTTGATCAATCTGCAGATGAATCTGTAGATTCTGGTTAGTGCCTGTGGCTTAGGGCTGTTGAACGTAGTTTCACAATCATGACATTGTGTGTATTTTGTGTCCGTGTGTATTGTGTGTCTGCCCTGAGTGTATTTTGTGTCTCTGTGTGTATTGTGTCTTTGTGTATTGTGTCTGCATATTGTGTCTGTGTGTATTGTGTATTGTGTCTGTATGTATTGTGTCTGTGTGTATTGTGTATTGTGTCTGTGTGTATTGTGTCTGTGTGTATTGTGTCTGTATGTATTGTGTCTGCATGTACTCTATTTGTGTATTGTGTCTGCGTTTATTTTGCCTGTGTGTATTGTGTTTGCACGTATTGTGTTTGCGTGTATTGCGTCTGAGTGTATTGTGTCTGCGTGTACTCTGTGTATTGCGTCTGTGTGTATTGTGTCTGCGTGTATTCTGTGTATTGTGTCTGTGTCTAATGTGTGTGTATTGTGTCTGTGTGTACTCTATCTGTGTATACTCTCAATGTATTGTGTCAGTGTGTACAGTGTCTGTGTGTATTGTGTCTTGTGTACTCTATCTGTGTATTGTGTCTGTGTGTACTAAAATCAGTGTATTGTATCTGTGTGTACTCTGTGTGTATTGTGTCTGCATACTCTATCTGTGTATTGTGTCTGTGTGTATTGTGTCAGCATGTACTCTATCTGTGTATTGTGTCTCATGTACTCTGTGTATTGTGTCTGTGTGTACTAAAATCAGTGTATTGTATCTGTGTGTATTGTGTCTGCATGTACTCTTATCTGTGTATTGTCTGCATGTACTCTATCTGTGTATTGTGTCTGTGTGTATGGTGTCTGCATGTACTCTGTGTATTGTGTCTGTGTGTACTCTGCGTATTGTGACCGCATGTACTTTGTGTATTGTGTCCGCATGTACTCTGTGTATTGTGACTGTGTGTATTGTGTCCGCATGTACTCTATCTGTGTATTGTGACTGTGTGTATTGTAGCTGACAACTTACCTCATATTGTGGTAGCCTGGTATGTGCATGCAAAGTTTTAATTCGCAACCAGTAGGTCCAACTATGGGTTATCTTCACTTATATTACTATAAGTATACCAACTCCCCGAGGGGAACAAGAATGTTTAAAAAATCGAATAATTAGACTTGATTCCTATAAAGCTGGAGTGCATCTGCCTAAGAGGTCAGGAACCAATAGGTTGCATACAATTTAGCTGGATCTGTAAAATGGATGTGCATGCAAAACTCAAGTTCTGGAACAAGAACAAAGTCCATAGTGGACGAACAACCAGGACTTTCTGCCAGAGTTCACAGCTGGTGAATGCAAAGAAGAAAGAAAACAGAGGATACCAGCAGTTCAAACAAAATGATTGCACCAGACTGGTAAAATGATATTTTCTGATCACCCCTTGAGCTATGCTGGTACAGCAGCTCATTTGCAAAGTCCCCCAAGTCAGGACAGACTGTTTAGCTACAAAAGTGGCAAAGGCAGAAACACACACAGTGGAAATGACAATCTTGAAACATAATGGGTAACACCAGGGCTTTTTTTTTTCCAGCAGTACGCAGTACTGGCACCACCCTTTTTAAAAAATGTATCACTTGTTTTAGCACAGCTGTAAAAGACAATCTGTGGCGAGTAGAGGCACCATACTTTAAACACATTGACACCTGTTTTTCTAGGAGGCAGGGGAATCTGGTTAAGACAGACAAACGTGAAAACTATATTTGAATGTTTGCTAACCCATATGGGTTCCGGCGCCCCATTATGGAGAAAACAAGAATAGACCCACTGCCTTCCCAGCAAGCATCTCATAGGAGTCCACTAACTGGGGACTTCCATTGAAGTCGCAGTGCATCTGCCCGAGGGGCAAGAAACAACCAACTGCACACAAATAAGTCAGTAAAACGGATGTACACGCAAAACTCAGGCCCTGGCACAAAGCTAAAGTCCAAGCAGAAGAATAACCAGCACTTTTCATTGGAGCTTACAGCCGGTGAACAAAGAAGAAGAAGAAAAATGTTTCCTGATGGAGGACAAAAGTTTAAATGAGATAATAAGCTAAAGATTGCATGAATTGGAAATTAAGTGTGGATCCAGAAAGAATATGATGTGTGCACAGCCAGTGTGCCATGTTCAGCATCTACCTTTTTTTTTTTTTTAAAGTATCCAGAAACCATGAGCTGTTAACCCTTTGGCTCGGTACAATGGATACTGCAACCCTTCGGCCTTAATTCCATGATAGATACTGTAAATCTGCAAGAAATGTGGCTTTTCTGCCCACCCCTGGGCACAAACCCGGATCAACCGGTCGCCACATAGTCCGGTTTAGCCAACTGTGCTAGCGAGCCGGGCAATCTCTACCTCTTAAATTATTTACTGTAAAATATAGACTTTAACTACTGATGTTAATTCTTAAATCTGTAACCACACAGATCTAGGGATATCAACTACACAAGGAGACATCTAAATAAGAGCTTTACAGGCAGACTGGGTGACAGACTAAGACAGGCTTGCCCGATAAAATGACTACAAAAATTAGATGTAGTGGGCTTCAAGCTTAATGACAACAGTACAATGTAACTTGCTTGGACCAGCAAGCAAGAGACAGTCAAAAATAGAAGGATATCAAGACATGGACACAGAAAAAAAGCAGCCACAGTCAGAATAAGAATTACATAAATTAGATCACATAAACTGCCAGAGAAAACATGTGTATTCTTTCCCTCCCCCACCCTTTCCCCCAAATCTATAACACACCTATACCAAAATAATAAAAAGATTTTTTTTAAAAAAAATCATGTAATGTGTCTACACAATAAAAAAAATTTTTTTTTAAAGTTAGTAAAATTTAAAAAATTACAAAAAAAAAAACCTGTTAAAAAGTCATAAAATAACATGCCCACATTACAACAACATAAGACACACAAACAACTTTTTGTCAAAATCAAGAGGATCAACTTCATTGCACTGCGTTATCCCAATTATTCTCTCTCCGTAGACTGCCTAACCTCTTGACATGAGCATCATACAAAGCACAAACTCCATGGCTTGAGCATGCAAAAACTGCACTCATGAACTGACCAGCATGTCCATGAAGAGAACCTATGATCTGTATAGTATCAGGGAAAACTGCTTGACCACTTTTGCCTAGGGAACCCCCAAAAGGTAAAACAAAAATGAAACATGTTTAAACACAAGTAAGATAATATAAACACCTATACCCAAACAACAATCATAAAAACAATGACAATTACTGCCTTTGTATACCACTTGTGCAGTTTAGGCAGGGAGGGCCTTAAAAGCCTGAGGATTTAAGGCTGCATGGCTAGTGCTGTCACCACAACTGTGCAGGTGAGGATTTTATTTTGCTCCCGCCAGAAAAAAAAATCCCCAGGATTGAACCCAGGTCTCCCGCATGAGAGCCAAGCCTTCTAACCATTTGGCCAGCCGCTCCTCCATACAAACAAAATGCAAAACATGCACCTAAAACCTAATATACAAACAATATGAAAACATTCAACTCTATGCCTAAAGTAAAAAAAATACAAAAACATTATATTGGACACTGTTGAAAAAATAAACAGTTAACAGACCCTTTTCCAAGCCTTCAGGCATGCTGGGTATACAGAACTAGACCTATATTTATATAGACCAATCGGCATTTGATCAGCATCAATCACACTGGCCACCTTTACTTCCCAGGACTTTTACTTGGTACCTATATAAGACTCAGTTAACCTGGGAGCCAAGGTAATTGTTGGAGAAAAAAAAAGTCCACCAGAACCTGTTGCGACCATCTAATCTGCAGGCGAGCGGCTAGCTGTTACACCATGGTGCCCAATGGATACTAAAATCAACCATAAAACACATGGGAAACTAACACAAGAAATCATCCAAAACCATAAAAGATGCACTTCAAGAATGATGACGCAGTTAAGCAATATCAATGACCAAATAACTTATCAACCTTATAAAAATACATTTAAAAAAAAATAAACACAGCAGAACGAAGATGAGATACATCAAAACCCAAACACCGAGCAGCCGCAGTGGCTAGATTACTGCCATCTGGCTGAGAGGTCTTGGGTTTCAACTTGTGCGGGGGATGGTTATAATAGTTGACCTTTGGTTTCCTAGGCTGACCGGAGCTAAACCCTCCTGGGCAGTAAAGGCGGCCAGTGCAATGCTGACCACACTGCCCATGGAGCACCAAATGGTGTACAAAAAAATATTGGCCTGTCAAATATGCCTGATACACCAGCTGCACGAAAAGGGTTGTTATACACCAACAGCACGAAAAGGGTTGTTATACACCAACAGCATGAAAAGGGTTGTTATACACCAACAGCACGAAAAGGGTTGTTATACACCAACAGCACGAAAAGGGTTGTTATACACCAACAGCACGAAAAGGGTTGTTATACACCAACAGCACGAAAAGGGTTATTTACTTACTTTTACTTCATTTAAACAAATCCACATAAATACAAACCACACAAAAAACAAAAACAAAATCAGAAAGGATCGGAATAAGAAATAAAACAAACGGCATATGTAAGTATACATATAACAAACAAACAAATCTGTAACTAGATAGGAAGGCAAATTAGTTTGAAGGAACATATGAAGAAACATTAACATAAAGAACATAAAGGAAAACAAAGTGGAGAAAATAGGAATAAACAATAATATCAAGATATTTTTAAACAAACGAATAAGAAAAACTATAGAAAGATACATTAACTATATCAGAATTGGAACTCTTTGCTGCTGAAGATGGGAACAGAGTGCTTATGAGAAAGTCCCGGGCGCTATGATGTCGATTCTTAATTGAACATTAACTAAATGAAGAAAATACAGGGAAACAAATTAGCATGACGAATTTTAGGAAGATACATTATTATGAAGAACATATAATCCCTGTGTGGGTTGCGGGGCCCCACTGGGGTGGGGGGATAGGACCACTGCCCCATAACACACATGTCGTTCAAGGTGACTAATTAGAGGTTTTCCTCCTAAACCAGACTGCATCTGTCTGAGAGGCAAGGAACCAACAGCCTGCATGCAAATAAGCCAGATCTGCAAAATGGATGTATGTAGCAAAACTTAAGTTCTGGAACTAGACTACAGTCCTGCAGTGAATAAACAATTTTCAGGAAAGTTAACAGCTCGTGAACACAAAGAAGAATATATATATATATATTTATACACACACACACACACAATGAGCATGAAGAACTATAGGAAGAAAAATTAGTACGAAGAAACATTCAGGAAGAAAATTTGTATCAAGAAATATACAGAAAGAAAATAAGTATGAAGAACAATGGGAAGAAAAATTAGTACGAAGAAACATTCAGGAAGAAAATTTGTTTCAAGAAATATACAGAAAGAAAATAAGTATGAAGAACAATGGGAAGAAAAATTAGTACAAAGAAACATTCAGGAAGAAAATTTGTATCAAGAAATATACAGAAAGAAAATAAGTATGAAATGGGAAGAAAAATTAGTACGAAGAAACATTCAGGAAGAAAATTTATATCAAGAAATATACAGAAAGAAAATAAGTATGAAGAACAATGGGAAGAAAAATTAGTACGAAGAAACATTCAGGAAGAAAATTTGTATCAAGAAATATACATAAAGAAAATAAGTATGAAGAACAATGGGAAGAAAAATTTGTACGAAGAAACATTCAGGAAGAAAATTTGTATCAAGAAATATACAGAAAGAAAATAAGTATGAAGAACAAAGGGAAGAAAAATTAGTACGAAGAAACATTCAGGAAGAAAATTTGTATCAAGAAATATACAGAAAGAAAATAAGTGTGAAGAACAATGGGAAGACAAATTAGTACGAAGAAACATTCAGGAAGAAAATTTGTATCAAGAAATATACAGAAAGAAAATAAGTATGAAGAACAATGGGAAGACAAATTAGTACGAAGAAACGTACAGGAAGAAAATTTGTATGAAGAGCGTCATCATCATGTGGCAGATAGTTGGCAAGATGATTCTATGATCACTGAACACCTGTAAAAAGCTTGAGTTCCCTGCAAACTTTCCAACCTTATGGATTCTGTGTCCCTGGTGTCTGTATTTACTGCAGATGCACCCCCCCCCCCTTCTTCCTCCCCCCCCCCCCCTTCCCCATTACCAGGAATCATACTCCCTAATACTGTTTTTTTCAGGCTTTTAATTATGATGTTTAATTTGGAAAGGAAAAAAGTTGCACTTGACAGGTTTATGAGAAATCCACTGACTATGAGGTTAAACTGAATACTATGTTTGTAGATCAACAAAAAAGCTTTTGACAGTGTAGAAAGGAAACAAACTATGGGCTATTCTAGATCGAGAGGATTATGGGATACAAGGACAATTGCCACACATCATGGCCATGTGTCACCGTTTGCAAAGCCCACGGAGAACACAAGAAGGCAAATCTGATATGTTTATAATCAATATGGGGGCGAGGCAGGAATGTGTGTTCTCCTCTATTATTTAATATATACACATTCACAGAATATGTTTTTTTAAAGCAGTTGACCCAGAAAATGATTAACTTTATTTTCTGGAGGATGAAATAGATCTTCACATAATAAACGAGCTACTATTTGCAGGTGTTTAGTGCCGGTTCCACAATAAATGGAGTAGACTGCAAGACCATTTGAACAGGCAGAAGATATAACTAGAAAATAAATACTACTAAAACTTAAGTAGAATTCCTAGTCTGCTACATATAGGGTTGAACGGTACTAGTCTGAAGCAAATTTAAATGTTTAGGAAGTATATTCACTGGGGACGGGAGAATAGATCGGGAAATAGAAACAAGATGCCAACGAGCCAGAGCAACTGACACCATTATTAAGACATCCAAACATAAGTATGAGCTCCGAGAAACACATCATAAACAGCATATTCATACCAACACTTTACTATCAGTACCAGACTAGGACATCAAAGGCTGACCTAGGTCAAATTAACATCTGTAAAATGAGATGCCTGAAAAAAGCACCCAACTTGACCATCCAAGACAAAGTTAGAAATTATATTATCAGACAGACTGTAGGAACAACACCATGCAGCAAATTCATTGAGGAACAGAAGACCAAATGGTTTGCTCATCTAGTAAGAATGCAGCCAGAACAACTATTAATGTAGGCACTACACGTGAACAAATCTGAAGTGAGGCAAGAGACCATCCGAGGAGCAGATGGATTGATGACATTTAAGAGCTTCTACTCCGACACAGAATGACAATAGCTATTGCTGCCCATCGAGCAATGGATCACAAACTGTTCCTCTTCACGATGCTTAAAGGCAGAAGTGGAAACTGATGACTGATTGTTCAATTTGGAAGAAATAAACATGCAGCAAACAAGGCAAGGTGAAAAAGAGGTCACGCTGCATGGACAACAAAGGATCTCTACAATACTGCCTAGATGCTCAAGTCTAGGGGAGAAAAAATAGAACTGACCACGTTCAGTCGCGCTGAAAACAGCTTCAGTTACAACTGTGGTCTGTTTTTGTTTTTTGACCCCAATTTGAATGGCTTAAAGGGTTTGTTGTGCTAAGAACTGTGGCTTATTATCTCTAGCTGTGTGATGTTACTCTGAAACAAGTCTGGCTCCTCCACGGTGCTCCTGTGATTCAGATGAGATTTCTGCTTTTCGTGTCCATTTTCCTGTCTTCTGGGTGTAATTGTGGCTGTACTCTTTCTATCTCATGTACTGTTGTTCCTCCGGGGGTATTATGTTCTGTCCTTTGTTCTTGAGATGGCGTCCTCATTTATGTCCTTGTTGGGTGTCTGTCTGTCTCCTGTTGTAGTACAGTCCTTAAATTGGTGGGTCATATTAGGGTTACATACTCTTACTGCTCGACAGCAGCTGTGGTGTAGCAGCTAGATAGTTACCGCTCAGGCTTTGTGATAAGGAGAGTGCAATGTTTTGTTACAGGAAGGTACGGGAAAGATCATCTGAAAAGATGGAAAAGTGCCAATAAGCATGGTCGAATTATTGTAGTTTCCAAGAAATGATACTGTTTGTGAGCTGCTCGATGTTCAGATGCTGAAGAATGTCAGTATTATGAAGAACATACAGAAAGAAAGGACATTTCAAACCCATGTGCATTGTGAAAAAGACATGTGATAAACAGATTACAGCAATAATACTAAACATAAATATTAAGATGAAAAAAAAAAAAGTCATCTTACTGTTGATTCACTGTCTCTAATTAAGAAATCGCCATCCTGGGCAAATTTGGTTAAAATGTCCTCACACTGGGTGCGGGAAATCTTCCCATAATACCATTCCTTGTCCGCCAGAGGTCCCGACACACGAAACTGTTTCCTCCCCGCGAGGGCGAGGGCTGCTATGGAGGTGTTGGAGATGGAGGAGATGGACTGTGACTGCGACTGAGGATTGGATGATGATGTTGATGTCCCTCTTTCACTGCCCTCCTCCCCAGAACTGGTCGCTGGGGTGACATAATTCGCCGGTATAACTCCGGTTTCTCCACGAGAATTACGCACAGACAACCACTCAGAGTCCGGTTCCGACATCACCACTTCTAATCTCTCCCCCTTTTCACAACTGAGCTCCCCGTAGTTCTTTCCCGTGAAGGGGTACAGCGCCAGAACAATGTCCGCTGAGCTATGAGATGGCGAAGACTGGGATTTGGCCTCTGCGGCTGTGAAGTACAGCAGGTTGTTATCCTGATTACTGCTCCCTCCTGAAGAGCCGACCTCCTCGACATGATTGGCTGGGAACCAGCCTATACTGCCATCATCCTTACGACCCTTCCACCAGCCGTCGCTGGATTTTTCTAACACCATAATCCTCTCCCCTTTCGACAGGGAGATTTCATCTATCCGGTCAGCGGTATAGAAATATTTTGCACAAGCCGGTATGCAGTGTCGCAACAGATAGGTCTCTGGTGCATTGGTTGTGCTATTTCCATTAGTCCTTGAACGCACTGCTGTGTTGCCATTGTTTAAGGAGGGATGTGAATGTGGAGGTAACGGCTTACTGGGCTCTGACTTCTTCCGGCCTCCATGTTTCTTTAGTATAGAAGCAAACAACGAAGCCTTGGGCTTGAGGACTTTCACAAAGTTAGAAGGCACAAACCCTTCACGGCCAGTGTCAGGAGAGCGAACCTTCCACCAGTCCTTGGTGTCGTCAACCAGCAGCAATCGTTCCCCTTTGCGCATAGATAGCTCCTGTGAGTTTTCTGCATTGTAATCATACTTGGCCACCAGTTGTGTGTCCTGCTGGCCTTCTGCCATGATCACCAGTTTCCTGCAAGAAATAACAACGAAAATTACTATGGTACTTCAATTTCTCATTAAAAAATACAATTTTGTGCCATCTCTGGAATAAATGTTGGCTTTTGTAAACCCAATGCTGTCTTTAAGAATATATTACACAGTGAGGATCTAATCTCCTCCACAGTATGAATCTCACACTTCTGGTTAGAAAACCATACAATAGTTTTTGTTTTGCCTGCTGCTGTGGCAAGTGGACTTTACTACTTGATAATGATTATACTGTTAAATGCATTCTATTATCTCTAAGTGATAGAGCCGCATACTAGTAGTGGAAATAATATTTTAAGCACTGCCATTTATGCATGTCTGCGGTTCTTGTAATGAAGAGGAGGAGGAGGGTTCCTTGAACCAGATTATTTAGGGTCGCAAGTCTAGTTAGTGTAGCAGCCACGGACTGGGCAAGTTGGAATTTTATTTTTGCTTCTGAAACACCCCCAAAAAATAAATAAACCTACAATCTTACTGAGGGTTTCCAGCATGAGTGTCCAATGCTCTAACCCACTGGACCATCTGCTCCTCTAAAGAAATCGAAATATAACATTTATTCCTCTACTTTTAATAGGGCCACATAGCAGTCGTATATTAAGGGAAGCAAATAAGTACTTGTGTTCACTCCTGGAATTCTGTGAAAATTAGCCAACTCAAATGTCATTGCTCTACTTGCAAAATCTGACTTGCTTTATAAGATAAACAAAGGTAGTCTTCATAATACACCACCTAGAACAGCAGTGTCATACTACTTCTTCTTCTTCTTTTTTTAATATCCGCTTAAGCCGCCAGGCGTCACAGTTCAACAGACAATCGGCAGCCGAGTCAGGATGGGCTCAGTTGCTTGATTTGCTGTGATGTTATGCAGTCTCAACGTGTCAATGACCCCTTCATTCCATACTCTTCTTGGTCTTTCCCTGAATCTTGATGTTTTGATTTTCAGGTTGCAAGCTCTTGCTGTTGGCTGGCATCATTGGTTTCATTTTCATTAGACAGCCAAACCCTTTCATTCTTTGTTTCTCAATAAATTTGACGATTGGTGTTGTTTCAACAGTTCTTGTGATCATGTTGTTTTAATGTCATTCTGTGTGCTCTAATTATCACTTCTTAAGAAGTTGAACAGTGCATGAGGCAGCTAATTTGGTCAATGGTATTAGACGTTTAGACAGTATCAAGGAGGAAAAAACAAACACTGCCAGTGAGTCCTACTCTTCCTCCTGTGTCCACACTTCCACCCAAACTGACATGGCCTTATACATGCTGTTGTTTAATCCATCCATTCGTCAATATGTAATAGTCAAAATGTAATATTTGAATGTCTGCCTCATTCATTAGGAGTGTATATAAAACTGTCCTGAGCAAGAGAGAGAGAGACAGAGAGAGGGAGAGGGGACACAGAGGGGGAGAGAGAGAAAACAGAGAGGGGAGAGAGTGGGAAAGAGAGGAGAGATAGAGGGGAGAGTTAGAGAGTGACAGAGAGAGGGAAAGAGAGCATGAGAGAGCTGCCTTTTTATTCTTTGACACTCATGCATGGCTAGGGCAGTCCTTGTCATGATGAAATGCTGAGGTTTGGATACACTCATGCCACCATATGTGGCCGTGTAATGATGACAAGCTTAGACGTTTCCAGTGTAAGCCCAAGTATTCATCTTATCCCCTCATCACAATTGTGCAGCACAGTAGCCTCCAACCTTTTTCAGATCCCCCCGCACCCCTTGAGTATACTGCAAGACCCCCTCACCCCTTTTCCAACATAACAAAATGTGATTGAAAAGAGGTTTTCACAGATTCCACAAGAGAAACAGACAGTATGGAGATACATTTTGGTCAGAATGTGTTCTTGATCTACAAATAAATGCCTGTGTTATTAATCAGATTTGTAACTGCAGACATACAAACTGCTTTTTTGAAGAAGAAAAAATGAACATGAGGTAAGAAAAAATGCGCATGAGGTAAGCGCAAGGTCTTATCTTATCTTCACTTCCACATACAATGCACTAAAGTACCTGGGTTTGCCAGGAAATGAACGGAAACGGGCACTAAAACAGCTGGGCGAAGCAGCGCAAAAGGCGTCGAGCTGGCTTAGGACGCAACAGAACGTCGTGGGGGATGCGCCTTGGTAGTCTGGTCAGGGCCCCTAGTGGAAAAGAATTTTACGTCTCTTTAAAGCCAAAGTGTCCGATAAAAGCGTCTGCCAGTATCAAATTTGCCATTTGCAAAAGTCTAACGTCTATTCGATGAACCAACCATAAGTTTGCCACTCTGATCGTGAAGGTAAGCAGCTAATTTGCTACCGCAGCGACACACATATATAACACAAAACCTCATAATACCAGTAGCAAAACCATCTCTGTCTTGTTCGATTTCGACTGACAGTTACGCGCAGCAGATGTCCGAGGCTCGGCGTCATGACCCAGGTCAGCCCACCCTTCGAGGTTGTATAGGAGTGTAATGGGCCGAAAAACTGTCGATGAGGGACCCTTTTACTGATGATTGGTAAAGCTCCTGCTGTGCATGCTCCCCTATGTAATTCTTTTTATCCACCATCGTACTAGTCAACCCTGCCTCTTCTTCCTGGAACACTTACCACTTTCTGAAACTACAATGACCCTTAGTGTGACCGCAACCGCAGTTTTTAATTATCCGATATACAATAACAATCAGCTAGCACCCCGAGATTGCATTCTCAGATGCTAACATATAGTGACTCGAAAAGCCTCTATTCGGGTGAGAATCTACAAACAGCAAATTACGAGAGAGAACGTTTGATTAATCAACACAGAATAGACGCCATCAGGAGGGGACAGAGAGCCTAGAGATCTGTTCGGCGTGACGTGAAGATAATCCTCGCTAACCACTTCATTATTCAGCAGAAAATGTGACAAAGTAACTTGCTGTCCAATGCGAATGGGTGGGTAATTATTCCTGGTCAACGATCTTCGGCCGAAGAAAGTTATATATATTTAAAAAAAAAAAAAACAGCAGCTGACATAAATAAACATCCCGCATCAAGAGAAACACATGGGAAAAGAAAATACAGATAGAAGTTGATAAAATCCACTAAGCAATTTCCGAATGAAGTCAACGAAGGCTACAAAAGAGCAGCACGCCAAACTAGCGATCAACTCCGTCAATCAATACAGCCAATCAGCTCAACTGATGGGTTTATTACAGAGATCGGAGCACTTGTGGGCATGTCCGGAGTGTGGTGATAATCGAACAGAAGAGAACAGACTAGAATCTGCTGCCCTCTTCCCCGCAACCGCCACAAATGTAAGAGGAAGCAAGATAGCCGCTCCGTGTTTGTCACGTCGCTATATGAGCCAATTCTGACAACCAATTAGTGACTGTTGACAGCTGAGGCACTGACTAACTGCAGCTGTGCCAACCCACGTTTAAGCTTGGTTGTAAACATCTCATTGGTCACGTCGTTGAAATATGAAATTAAGAAAAACCAAACTCAATAAACAAAACTGAAAAAATCAAACAAATTAAGCAAACAAGAGCAAGCAGCAGACGCTTAATAAACTGACGACAGCGGTAGTGCAAACACACATGATTACGGTAAAACTTCTGTTCTAGAACTGTGTTTCTATTTAGTGGTCTGCATAACATATTCAATGGTCATTGATATTCTTTTAAGGATCACACAGAGGAGGTTGTGACAAAGGCTTAAAAAGGTCATAATGCACTAAAGATTATGGCAGTGATGGACATGGAGCAGAGAATGTTGTTCACACTTTACCACTTAATCATCTCAGTGATTGATTATGGACTGGGGTTACTCACTGTCTTAAGAGTCGGCTATAGAAACTGCGGCGCATACAGAATGAAGCTTTGCGGGTGATCCTGGGATGTACAAGATTGTGCGCATGCGATACATCCTTACACTGTTGACTACTGCAAATAGACTAAAGGTGCTGCAGGCTAAGGCATACCTCAAAATAGTTGGGGACAAAGAGCAGCATCTGTATGAAGCTTTGGCTGCAGTTAAGGGTCGGAAGCTGAAAAGGGGAAAATCGTGGATGGCTCAAGCAGAAGACAAAATAGGACAAGTATGCATGCTGGAGAACATTGGGCGGGGAGAAGAGTGGGTCAGAGTACCAGACGAAAAGTCTGACCAATCTAGGGTCATCATCACATTTGACCGGAAGTGCAGAGAGTGGCAAGCAGATGCTACGGAAGTGGAAGTCCAACAGTTGATACATGACAATTCTCACCCAGATGAGCAGATTATCTATACAGATGGTTCTGTGTTGAGAGGGAAGAGAAGTGTCTGGGGTTTGTAGCAAAAGCCAATGGAAAATCGTTAGTGCAGAACAGCATAGCATATGATTTCACAACATCTAGCATGAGATTGGAGGAGGGGGCGGTCACTACAGCTTTCTGGTGGCTACAGAACAACACGCGTACACATATCCGTGGTGCGGCTATGAAGTATATTCAGTGGTGTTTAATTCGAACGGAAGTGACGTTAAGTAGTAGAGTAGTGAAGTTAAGTTTAATGGGTCCCGGCCCAGATGATTGTCCACATTAACCCCCCCCCCCCCCCCCGGGTCATTCTTCTTCTCCTTCTTCACTTCCTCTTTTACCGCTGTGGGCGTCGAAGGAGATATAAGGTTCTGTTTCTAGCTCTTCTGGTTGCCTCGACCATAGGCACATCGTGCTGTTGCAGAGTTTCTCTGATGTTATCCTTCCATCTTGCTCTTGGTCTACCCCGTGCTCTACGTCCTTCTTCTCTTTCCGTGTATGCTTTGTATGGTATGGTGTCACAAGGCATTCTCTCTAAGTGGGCAAACCATTTCACTTGCTGTCTTTGTATGTAATACAGAATTGGTTCTGTGCCGACTTGTTCTCTTATGATCTCATTCCTGATCTTATCTCTTATGGTCACTCCTACAGCCCTTCTCAGACATCTTATTTCCGTGGTTAATAATTTTATTTTATGGTTTGTTGTGAGTGACGATGTC